AGCACAGTTAAGTGTTCTGGATTCCCCATTCTTCACACTGTTACCCATAATTTGTTATGATCCACAGAGTCGAATGCCTTTGCATAGTCACTAAAACACAGGTGAACATCTTTCTGGTATTCTCTGCTTTCAGCCTAGATCCATCTGATATCAAGCAATGATATTTCTGGTTTCATGTCCTCTTCTGAATTAGGCTTGAATTTCTGGCTGTTCCCTGTTGGTGTACTGCTGCAATTGTTTTTAAATGATCTTCAGCAAAATTTCACTTGTGTATGATATTAATGATATTGTTTGTTAATTTCCACGTTCTGTTGGATTGTCTTTGTTTGAAATAGGCACAGATATGACTCTCTTGCTGTCGGTTGGCCAGATTATTGTCTTCCAAATGTCTTGGCATAGATGAATGAGTACTTCCAGAGTTGCATTCGTTTGTTGAAACATCTCATTTGGTATTCCATCAGATCCTGGAGCCTTGTTTTTTGCCAGTGCCTTCAGTGTACCTTGGATTTCTTCCTTCAGTACCATCAGTTCTTTATCAAATGCTCCTTCCTGAAATGTTTAAACATTGACCAATTCTTTCTGGTACAGTGACTGTATTCCTTCCATCTTCTTTTGATGCTTACTGCATCATGCAGTATTTTGCCCACAGACTTGTTTAGCATTGCAGCTCAAGGCTTGAATTTTTTCTTCAGTGCTTTCAGCTTGAGAAATGCTGAGCAAGTTCTTCGCTTGTGGTTTTCTAACTCCAAGTCCTTGCACATTTCATTATAATACCTTACTTTGTCTTCTCGAGCGGCCCTTTGAAATCTTATGTTCAGCTCTTTTACTTCATCATTTCTTCCATTCACTTTAGCTACTTGACGTTCAAGAGCAAGTTTCAGAGTCTCTTCTGACATCCATTTTGGTCTTTTCTTTCTTTCCTGTCTTTTTAATGACCTTTTGCTTTCATAATGTATGATATTCTTGATGTCATTCCACAACTTGTCTGGTCTTCGGTTACTAGTGTTCATTGCATCAGATCTGTTCTTGAGATGGTCTTTAAATTCAGGTGAGATACCTCAAGGTTGTAGTTTCACTCTCGTGGACTTGTTTTAATTTTCTTCAGCTTCAACTTGAACTTGCATATGAGCAATTGATGGTCTGTTCCGCATTTGGCCTGTGGCCTTATTCTGACTGATGATATTGAGCTTCTCCATCATCTCTTTCCACAGATGTAGTCAGTTGGATTCCTGTGTATTTCATCTGGTGAAGTCCATGTGTATAGTGACCATTTATGTTGTCGAAAAAAGGTATTTGCAATGAATAAGTCATTGGTTTTGCAAAATTCTATCATGCTATCTCCAGTGTTGTTTGTATCACCAAGGCCATATTTTCCAGCTACTAACTCTTGTTCGTTTCTTTTGCATTCCAGTCACCGGTAATTATCAATGCATCTCGATTGCATGTTTGATCATTTTCAGACTACAGAAGCTAGTAAAAATCTTCAGTTTCCTCATCTTTGGCCTTAGTGGTTGGTGCATAAATTTGAATAATAGCCGTATTAACTGGTCTTCTTTGTAGGCGTATGGATATTATCCTATCACTGACAGCACTGTACTTCAGGATAGATCTTGAAATTTCTTTTTGACGATGAATACAATGCTGTTCCTCTTCAATTTGTCATTCCTGGCATAGTAGACCACATGATTGTCCAATTCAGAATGGCCAGTACCAGTCCATTTTAGCTCACTAATGCTTGAAGATACTTACCTTGAAGCAGTCCGTTTCATTTTTGACAACTTCCAATTTTCTTAGATGCATACTATACACATTCCATGTTCCTCTTACTAATGGATGTTTACAGCTGTTTCTTCTCCTTTTGAGTTGTGCCACATCAGCAAATGAAGGCCCTGAAAGCTCGACTCCATCCATGTCATTAATGTTGGCTCTACTATGAGGAAGCAGCTCTTCCCCGGTCATATTTTGAGTGCCTTCCAACCTGAGGGGCTCTTCTTTCAGCACTATATCAGACAGTGTTCTACTGCTGTTCATAAGGTTTTCGCTGGTCACTTTTTTTCAGAAGTAGATCACCAGGTCCTTCTTCCTAGTCTCTTAGTTTGGAAGTTCTACTGAAACCTGTCCACCATGGGTGAACTTGCTGATATTTGAAATACTACTGGCATAGCTTGCAGCACCATAGCAAGCTCCCACAGGATGACAAACTAACAGACGAGTGATGGTTATAATTTTAATGAGTGAAATTTTTATTTCTAGATATTCTGGAAATCTCCCTATTCTTTTTTTGATAGCATCTTATTCTTACACATTCAGTTTCCTTTTTTATGATATTAATCATTTTGAGGATACTTTATCAATTTTTCTTTCTTTGAATTATTTTTAAATAGTATTTTACCGTGTTTTCGGTGAAGTTTTACATAGCAGTTTAGGTTCCGATTCCACAATTTCTACACATCGTTCAGTGGCATTGGTTACATTCTTTACAATGCGTGAACATTCTCAATATTTCTGTTCCAGTTATTCCATTTCTATTAGTCTAGGTTCACTGCCCCCTTACATTTTCATCTTTGTTTTAATGTAATCTTTTACTGCGTGGTCTCATATAGGTGATTTTTTAACGGAGCACAGTACCTACAAGTGATATTCTTTATTTTGTGAGTCAGTCTATTATTTAGCTAAAAGGTGACCTCACGGGCTAGTTTTGGTTCATCTAGGGCAGTAGTCTCAGGGAGTCCTCCAGTCTCAGCCTGTCCAGTAATCTATTTTTTTGTTTGTTTGTATTTTAGGAATTTGAGGTTCCACGTTTTTCTCCCATTCTATCAGGGTCCATCTGTTGTGGCCTGATTAGAATGGTAGGTAGTGGTAGCTTGGCACCATCTAGTTCTTCTAGTCTCAGAGTAGATAAGGCCATGGTTCACGTAGACTGGTTAGTCCTGTAGACTAGTTTGTTCATTGGGTCTTTGGTTTCCTTCTTTCTCAATTGTCCTAGACAAGTAGAGACCAATAGTTGTATCTTTGGGGGCTACTCGCATGTTTTTAAGACCTCTTTTATTAAAAAAAAAAATCAAATTCTTAAAGTCAAAGTCAGCTAGTTGCTGACACATTCATGGTGGATTGTTTTCATGAGTGTTTTGGAATTTTATCTTGTGAGCTCATCTTCAGATGAGGTATATATGTGGGAATCTTGTACATTTTGTGTTGAAGATGCTGTATTTTCCAGGCACCCCAGTGATATCATTTTCTAGAGCCATTTGTATTATAGTTGCTAGTATCTTGGATTGGAGGTTCATTGTCCACATGGTTATCTAAATTTGAGTGCCAAATTTACCTGTGTACCAGCTCATGATTAATTTTAAAAGGGAAATGTGTTTAAAGAGCCAGAAGCATAAACCTGTTGGTATTTTTAAATGTTGACATAATTCTAATAGCACTCTTCTGTAAGTTCAATTGTCTATAACCATTTGGAAATCACGAGAGGCTGAATAGGCTTAATCGTTCAGTAAGGATGAATGTAGTTCTTAAAGTACAGCTAGGCCAAGTGTCAGCTAAGAAATAGACTATTAGGGCTTAACTGGGGGAGGAAGGGTAGCCAGGGATAGGGAGTACTTGGTCTGGATCTGGAAAAGCAGTGATAAGGTGACACTTTCAAAGGTGCAAACAAAAGAACAGGTAGTTGATCAGTAAGAGTATGGAGCAGGGTCTTTGGGGGCCACGAAATGAGTAGGGAGGCATGTGGGTTAGCAGGTGGTGGGTCAAGATCAAAGTGTGAAGGAATGAACTCAAAGCAGTAGGAGTGAAAAGTGAGAGAGAGTTGGTGTTCTGTAGCTCCTGGCTAAGCAGAACTAAAGTTCTTTGCTTACAGAAGAAGCAAAGTAAATCACCACGGGCAATGTGGGGTTAACTTATGTTATGCTAATTAACAAATTCCATTTATTTTTACTTTATGCGAAATAATATTCCAAATTAAATATATTGCTCTGTGTAAAGAAGAAATGTAAACCCACACTGAATCAGACAAATTTCACACTTGAAATACTGATTCAGACTTAGCTTAAGCAGTCCTTCCCACAAGTCATAGTTGGAGGAAAAGAAGTTAAAAACACAAAAATCTGCAAGTATGGAGAAAACTTACTCCTAATTTTAAAAAGAACAAAGGAGTAGGTTTCTCAAAGCCCATAACTATAAGTCTATCAAATTTTTCCTCTGGTATAGAAGACAGTTGAAATTTCATAAGGCTGTTTCTGCTTATGATTGGGTATGCATGTTTCTTTGAAGAAAACAAACAAACAAAACCGTTGCCCTCCAGTCAATTCCGACTCATGGCAACCCCATAGAGTTTTCTTGGCTGTAATCTTTACAGAGGCAGATGATCAGGTCTTCTGCGACACCGCTGGATTGGTTCAAACCACCAGCCTTTCAGTTTGTAGCCAATTGCAAAGCGTTTGTGCCATCCAGAGATCATATTTCTTTAAATAATAGCTAGAAAGTGGACATGTGTTATTCATTAGAAGAGTAGTTTTCAAACTTGCAACTTCAAAGCAAGTTGTCCCACTAGCATAGTTTGAAAAATCTCTCAGTTTGAATGTAAGCCAAATACAAAAAAATACTTAAGTGGAAAGGTAATTTAACATGTTTGTTGTCATTTTCACAGTCCCTGGGTGACACAGATGATTAAACACTGGACTACTAGCCAAAAGATTGGTGGTTCAAACCCACCGAGAGGCACCTCGGAAGACAGGCCTGGAGATCTGCTTCCAAAAGGTCACATCCATGAAAACCCTATGGAGCAGTTCTACTCTGGACACATGGGGTGACCATGAGTCAGAATCGACTCAACAGCAACTGACAACAATTGTCATCTTCACAGAAGATTTGCTTTACTTCTTTTTTTCTATTATTACATTAACAACTAAGATTGCCTTAAATTTTGTAATCATAGTTTAAGGATAGATTCGTAGCAACTGTTTTGGAATTATTTTACACAGTCTCTTTTTATCTTTCAGATTTTTTGTTTAAATTCTTGGTTATTGGAAATGCAGGAACTGGCAAGTCTTGCTTACTTCATCAGTTTATTGAAAAAAAATGTAAGTGACATTAAATGATCAGTCTTTCTTGCATGTCTTGTTCGGAGAATGCTCTCACCTCAGATTTGTTTACAGCAAAGTTTCTGAATATTTTTTTAGGAAAAAAATCATTTTAAAAGTATTTTTAAATAACAGAAAAGGTTTATGCTATTAAGCTTTTGGTAATAAGGTTGAATTTTTTTAAGTTAGCATTTTAATATTAAAGTGGTTCACTTTTCAACATGTTAACAATACTGCACATTTTACAGATATTGAAAGATAGTATATTTATGCTGGAGGCAGCAGAGGAATTCTTTGACAGGAATTCTGTTTACTGGCAGGCAAAGACCAGAGGAACCCTAGTGGTACATTTTGGATAAAATATTTCGGTCCTCACAGTAGCCTTGTATTGTCATTAAGGCAGTCATTGCCACCAGTTCTATTTACAGGTTAGGAAACAGCTCTAGAGAAATTGGTTGTGTGCTCTTAGATTTCACCTAGTAACTGGTAGGTTAAAATCCAGGCCTTTTGACCACAGAACCTGTCTTTTTCCATTGACTTGCACTGTTTTGGTAAAGAAGGTTTAATTTTTTATTCCAAACTATGTGAGACCTTCGTAAAATGGAGAAGACTGTAGGTTTGAAAGGCCCTTAAAATAGACAATGCTTTTATAATAATGGAAAGAATTGTAGAGAATGACCTGTTTATTTAGTAGCCGTTGGATGAAGGCTCAAAAATGGAATGAATCTGATTTGATGAAGTTCATCTTAAGTAAGTATGCATATACCTTACCAAAAAACCAAGCCCACTACCATTGAGTCGATTCTGATTCATAGCAACCCTATAGAACAGAGTAGAACTACCGCATAGGGTTTCCAAGGCTGTAATCTTTACAGAAGCAGACTGCCACATCTTTCTCCTGCAGAGTAGCTGGTGGGTTTGAGCTGCTGACCTTTCGGTTAGCAGCTGTGCACTTAAACACTGCGCAACCAGGGTGTAGGTGGCAAGTAAAAAGAGGAAAAGAAACAGTATAAGATATGTTGACAAAGAGCTTTAAAGAATAGAATTCTAGAAATTTATTCTGCTACTTCCATTTTCATCGACCAGAATCTTGCTAGAGTCTCTGTTTAGTGAGATGGACCTAGCATGGGTTAGTGATAGAACCAGTCTTATTGAATTTAGCAAGTATTCATTCACTGGGTGGCCCAAGTTTCTTTACAAGTTGTCAAAACTTTGCTTTGTACAGTCTCAGAAAATAATGCCCTTTGATGATGATGATGATGATGATGATGATGTGCGCTGTCAGGTTGATTCCGACTCATAGCGACCCTATATGACAGAGTAGAACTGCCCCAGAGGGTTTCCCAGGCTGTAATATTTACAGGAGCAGACTGCTGGGTCTTTTCTCCATGGTGGCCACCAGTGGGCTCGAACTGCTGACCTTTTGATTAGCAGCCGAGTACTTAACCATTGTACCACCAGAGCGCCATTCCCTTTGATGGTCCTCGCCTAATTTCTGAGGATGGAGCCTGGTGCGCATGTTTTGGCTAGTCTTAGTGTTCTTCTTGTGGCCATGTTGTAATCAAGATACCCTTGGCCTTTACGTGTCTCTTTTTGGAGACTTTTATTCCATGTTTTGCCTGGTAGCTTAATTCAAGTGGGATGTACATACTAGCTGTGTTCTACCTAGGCATGACTCAGACTGGTGTAGTCAGTATTAATCTTTCATCCCCTTCAGCAACAACAATCAGTTGCTGTCAAGTAAACTCCAACCCATGGCAACGACTTGTGTGTCAGAGTAAAACTGTGTTTCATAGGGTTTTCTATGGCTGATTTTTTTCAGAAGCAGATCACCAGGCCTTTCTTCCAAGGCACCTCTGGGTAGACTCAAACTTCCAACCTTTTGGTTAGCAGCCAAGCACGTTAACCATTTGCACCACCCAGGGATTCCTTCATCCCCTTCACTCACCAAGAAAACAACAAATGCAGTGGTCAAATCATATCCTTGATTTTTGCTAGATTTAAATTTTGCCCTACAAAGTAGAAACTAGTCAATAGGCTATGTAACTATATTTGATTTTAGCTTATCCTTTTATTATCACAGAAATTTCCTTTTGCAGAGAGCTTATTTTAGTTTATCATATGACTTACTTTCCCTGCCTCCCTGCTCATTCAGACAGTATTGATTTCTCCAGCAAATTCATTCAGAATTATTGCCATATAACACTAACATTTATGAAAATTCAACATGGGTTTTTTTCTTTTCTTTGGCTCTGTCTTTTCCTTCTTTTCCCTTAGTCTTTGATGTCCATCAAGTTTCTTTTGTGGGCTGTAGTACTTTTCCTTCTTTTTATTTCTTTAGAATATTTACCTATTCATATAGTTTCAATATCACAACCTTATTATTGACTCAGTTGCAGAACTGTTGTTGGGGAGTTAGTCCTTTCAGGATGGTCTGCAGATATGGTATACACCCACCATTTGTGAATACCTTAAGAATGGACAGTTAGATTTGGTTCTGATATGGCATGGCCCCATTTAAGCCTAGGTCTTAAAATGTGTGATTTATTTCAGGAGTTTTGAGGAAAAGTTTTATTGTCTCTTTGAGAATAGGGACTGTGTGTATTCTATTTGAAACAGGAGTGCTTTTGTTATCAGCTGACTGTCCAAACAAATGACTAAAGTAAATTAAGTTTTCCATTGACTTAACCCTTGATTTTAGTTTTACTTGTTTAAGTCTGTAAGCATGTTTCCTTAATGTTCTAAAATTAAGTATTTTGTTTTTGTTTTTCTTTTTTAGTCAAAGATGACTCAAATCATACAATAGGAGTGGAATTTGGTTCAAAGATAATAAATGTTGGCGGTAAATACGTAAAGTTACAGATATGGGATACAGCAGGACAAGAGCGATTCAGGTAGCTTTTTCTCTAACTTAATAACAGTGTTTGAAAAGTGGATTGAAATAATGAGTTATATTCTCTCAATATATAGCTCCCCCACCCCATGCTGATTTCAGAAACCTCTGGAAGCTTTAATTAAAAGATGGGTGAAATTCTGTTTAGCTTATGAAGCATCGATTTACTAGCAGAACATTAGAAGGCTCAGAGTGAATGCACTGCAGTTTAGAGGCTAACTTATTCTGTGGGGATAGTGATGGGGAAGATGTAGCACTGGGTTGTACAGTATGCTTTTAGATTAAATCAGTGCAGGGTCATAGTGCAAACAATTTCTGTATTTCACTTCTAAAATAATTTTTTTTTAATATCTCTTATAGGGATTTTGTTTTTTGAATTTTTTTGATGTTTTACATTAACGAGCATGTTTTGATGGTTTATATACAGTTCACAAAATATTCTGTCCTCCAACTTTAGATTACAATATAGTCATAATTGATGTTTGTTATGATGACTCCCCCCGCCCCAGACTGCTGCAGAGCTGTAAAACAGGGAAAATGAGAGAAATCTTTTACACGTTTAGTATTCCGTAACTACTAAGGCAAGTAGATTAGTATTTTAGTTTTGTTTTTCACGCACATGCAGATATTCTCATTTTCAAAATTAAGTTAAATAAAGTTCACCCCTACTACAAGCATTTCACTTAATTATATATGTATATTACTTAATATAGATGTCATATATTAAATGCTCAGTAGTCGTTTGCTTTGAAAATATCTTAGCCATCTTTAATCACAACCATTCTTATGAAAGGGCTGGTTTAATTCAGACATTTGTATCTCCTCCCTCCAGACCCCACTGAAATGGCTGTACAGTAATGAAAATAGCATTAACTCAGAAAGACCAAGATGGGGGAATACACTATTATGTTTGAGAAATTTCCAAAAAAATTTACAGATGAGAAGCGGATGTAGTTTCGACTGACTTAAGGCAGAGGATGCGACATCTTAATTTCCATAATGGAGGATACCAGTGATCAGGAAGCTGTTTCTTCCTGCTGAGGCCAGAAATGTTCAGGGTTTCGAAGCATCAGTTTCTATAGGAGGGAGAGGTTGAAATGTTTACACACACCAGATGGGGGATATAGTTTCTAAGTTGAAACAGTATCTAGACTCAAGGTTGTAGGCATAGCAGAGGTCAGGGTCGGGCGAGGCCTGAGAAGAGGGAGACTAAGCCAAAGTCTGTATGCCCGATGGCTGGAACCCCAGCGCTTTCCCCCACCTACTCCCTGCTTCTGGCAGCCAGGATTAGGCGTCCCACGCAGGAGAAAGGACTGTTCTCTAGAGAAAACCAAAAGAAAAGGCCTAAAGATGCTAACGTTTGGTTTCACCAATAAAACAGCCCAATTCCCATCCAGTCATCTTATGAGAAGTCCATCAGTCGGCCCCTTCTACCCACACATACAGAGTTTCTTTTAGACCTTTTAATTCCTTGCTCTTAAATATAAACCAGCAACCAAGGATATCGGGCATTTGAAGGGAGTTTATAAAATAAAAGAAAGAATCTAAGATAAATAGGAACTTGCAGAGAACACGAAAAACACTAAAACTGCAGTATCCTTGGAAATTAGAACAGATATTACATTCAAGTAATAAGAACAAAATAACATAAGAGAATAGTCAAAATAGCATATTAAATAGAGTAGGAAAATAAAGCAGTCTCCCAAAACATAAAATGAACTCGAGGAAAAATGGGAGAGACAAAATAATCATACAGTATTAATCTAGGAGGTCCAGTAACTGACTATTAGACTTCTAGAAGAGAGGGGGGAACAGAGGAGACGATGAAAGAAACAATAGAACATTTTCCACTGAAGGAATGAGATTCCAGATCATGTGAAATTTCAAAACAGCGGGATAAAGTAAAGATCCAGAAAGGTTCTAGGAGTTAAAAAAAACAGTTACATATAAAGAATTAGACATCGGAATGGCATTGGACTACTCAACAGCAACATGGTAGACTAGAGGAAATTGGAGCATTACCTTTAAAACTCAGTGAATTTTTTTTAACCTAGAATTCTAACTTAGCCAAGCTATCAATTAAGTGTGAGAGTAAACTCAGAATGCTTTCATATATGCAGTAACGGGGGCGCTACCTTCCACACCCCCTTTCTTAGAAACTTCGCCAGTACAAAGGAGTAAGACCAAAAAGAGGAAGATCAAGTCAGCAGAGGGATTCCACACATAAGGAGCCCTGGTGGCGCAATGGTTAAGCACTTGGCTGCTAACCGAAACGTCTGAGGTTGGAACCCACCCAACTGCCCCGAGGGAGAAAAGACCTGGTGATTTGCTCCCATAAAGATTACAGCCTAGGGAACCCCATGGGGCAGTCCAACTCTGTCGTATAGGATCACTGTGAGTCAGAATCTACTCAGTGGCAAACAGCAACAAGTGGAAGAGAGGCCGCCTACGTCCGCTGTAAGAGGCGACCTTGGGAAGAACTGAAAATCTCGTCTTTATCATCCTGCCACCCGTCTTCCATTTCAGTTTGTGCCCCTCAATGGTAGCGATCTAAAGATAGAAAGGGGAAGGTTCAAGCTACATAACTGCCTTTGGGGTTTAAGAGCTAAAAAGTAAATTTTAAAATAGCTGTGCTTTTCCGAGTAGTTTGGGGATTTTTGTAAGTTCCACAGTTTTCTTTTTACCTACAGAGTAAGCACTGTTTATTTTTATTACTATTTTTTAAATAATATTTTATTTTCAGTGAAGTTTTATACAACAGTTTAGGTTCCCATTCAACTGTTTCTACACAAGTTGTTCAGTGACATTGGTTACATTCTTCACAATGTGTGAACATTCTCATTATTTCTATCCTGGTTGTTCTATTTCCATTAATCTTGTTTCCCTGCCCCCTTATATTCTCATCTTTGTTTTAAAGTAATTGTTGTCTGTCTGGTCTCATATGGGTGATTTTTTTTAAAGGAGCACAGTACTTATGGATGATATTATTTTTGAGCCAATTTGTTATTTAGCCACAAGGTGACCTCAGGGGTTAGTTTCACATCAGGGTTTGAAGAGAGATCAGGGCAAGTCTTGGGGAGTCCTCTAGTCTTAACCCCTCCAGTAGGTCTGATTTTTTTTTTTTTTTTAATTAGGAATTTGAGGTTTTGTTCCATATTTTCCTCCCATTCTAGGCACTGTTTATTTTATTCTGCAAATGTTTTTAATGACTGCCTGGCAATATCCCAGGCACTGTGCTGGGTACCAGAGCATGCTGGTGAACGAGCGCACAGGACCCTGTCACATGGAGGGAAGACAGACAGCAAGTAAACATACAAAAATCATGTAATTACCAAATGAGATTAGTGCAAGAAAGAGATGGTGTGCTGAAGAATGGCAAGGGTGGGGTGGGAGGGAGGTGTCCTACTTGAATGAACGTGGTTAGGGAAAACCTTTCTGAGGAGATGATGTTTAATAAAGCCTGAAGAATGAAAAATATAAATTTAAAAACCAGCCTTGCTTGTGGCGAGTACAGACAGGGGCAGGAGGGAGCTTGGTGTGGTGAAGAATGGAAATGAGACCAGTGTGACTGAAGCATGGTGAGTGGGAGGTTGCCTAAGGACAGGCAGGGTCTTACAGACACAAGGAGGAGTTTGAGTGTGAAGTGAGCCGGGAACCACTGAAGGATTTTCAGTAGGGGAGGGACCTGATCTGATCTGCATTCTTACACAGCCACTCAGGCTGCTCCATGGAGAACGGACTAGGCAAATATGCATGAAACGGAGACCAGTCATGCGGCCATTGCAGTGGCCAGGCAGAGATTTGGTGGTGGTGGTGGTGGTGGTGGTTTGGATTAGGGGCGTGGCAGTGAAGATGGAAAGACGTGTACAATGAAGGAGATGCTCAAGTTGCAAACAGGGCTTGGCTGATGGATTGAATGTGGAGATGGACACAAAGGAGGAGTCAAGGACACACAGAAATTTCTAGCTTTAGAAACTGAGTGGATGGTGATATCACTTCCTATGCCAGGGTGGAATTGGAACTGGAAACCAAAACGAGTTCTGTGTTATAAATGTTAAGTGTGATGTGTTAGACAGTCATCTGGAGATGCAGAGTGGACAATTGGATTTCTAAGTAGGTCTCAGAAGTCATCTGAGCTGGAGAAACAAATTTGAGTCAAAAGTGTTGATAAGAAAGAAGATCCGAAGGAACTCCAATCCTAATAGGGCAGATTAAGAAGAATGATCCAGAGTTGGAGAAGATGAAGTGGCAAATGGGAGAGGGGGAAAATCAGGAGAGAGTGATGGAGGCCAGATTAGAGGTGAAGAAATGGAGACATGGTTAAAGACACCTCTTTTGAGAAGTTTGGATGTAGAGAAAAGCAAACAGTGGAATACTAGCTAGAATAGAAGGGTTGTATGGCATATTTTGTTTTTGTTTTGTAAGATGGGAGATACTGGAGCAAATTTTATTTTACTAATGAGAAAAATCTAGCAAAGAAGGAAAGATTGATAATGCATGGGGAGAAAGTGAGAGAAAAAGCCCCTGAGAATGAGAGAATGGATAAGATGTGCTCAAGAGCTCAGTTGAAATAGATGGAGCAACATTTCCTTCTTAGTAATGGGGGGAGCAGAAGATGAGCGCAGGTGCAGTGATGATTGTGGGTCAGTGGTCAGCAGGTGAGGGTGCGCCTACCTGATGACTTCTCTTTTCCAAGGGTAGAGAGTGGAGAAGGCTGTTCAAGAGAGAAACTATGGAACTCACAAAGGATGAGAGTAGGATTCCTGAGTGCCTCAGTGCTCATTTAGGCTTTGTGATAGCTCCCTTTACCTCACCCCTCTTTAGAAATTCCCAGAGGTGTCTTATGTTCGGTGGAAGAACATCTGCATTTTTAAAAGAAGATCATTCCTCACCTAACAACTCTGCCACCACCCTAGTCTGTCAGTTTGACATACTGTGGTGATTTTCATGTTGTTGTGATGCTGGAAGCCATGCCACCGTGTTTCAAATACCAGCAGGGTCACCCATGGTGGACAGGTTTCAGTGGAGCATCTATACTAAGACAGACAAGGAAGAAAGGCCTGATGATCTTCCAAAAATCAGTCAGGGAAAACCCTACGGACCACAACAGAACATTGTCTGACTCACTTGCTTTAAACATGTCATCAAGATGATCAATCACTGGACAAAGGCATCATGTTTTGTGAAGTAGAGGGTCAGCAAAGGCGAGGAAGACCCTTGGTTAGATGAATTGGCACAAAAGCCACAACAGTGGACTCGAACATGCTGGTGATTGTGAGGATGGCACAGGACGAGGCAGTGTTTTGTTCTGTTATACATAAGGTCACCATGAGTTGGAGTCGACTCAACAGTAGCTATCTAGTTCTCTCGGATTACCTTCTTATTGTCACTGCAACATGATTCAGATAGAATAACTTTTCTCACATACGTTCAGATATTGGTGAATCGTTTGTTTTAAAAGCAATGTTAGTCCCTGTGTCGTGGTTTGTAAAACAAAAATAGGTGCTTGTTTATGGGAAGGTGGTAGTAAAGGATCTTGACTTTAATTCTTTCAGGTCTGTGACGAGAAGTTATTACAGAGGTGCAGCCGGGGCCCTCCTTGTCTATGACATTACCAGGTAATGCACGTCCCATCCTGGAAGGTGCTGCTCAGCGCTCTGCTCCCTAAAGTCTGTGCTTGGGTTTCGCGATGCTTGAGCTCCATCTCCGTCTGCATGCAGCATGTGCGTGTACTCTGTGTGGGCAGCACTACTAGCGTTTAAGAAACCACTGCACCCTTTCATTTTGTGTCCTACATGTCTTTGAACCAGCACCAACCCCCTGCTCTCCTATGTAAAGAAATATGGCTGGATGGTTTAAATAGGTAAAGTGACCTTTAGTGTTTCACTACACATCTTAGCCTGATGCTTTGACCCTATCCTTAAGGTTCAAAAAGCGAAGCTTTATGTCAGGTAAGTTTTCAAAAGTGCATTGATAGAGGTTCAGGGTATATACTGAACCTAGGCTGCCTGGGTTCAAATCCCAGCTCCACCAGTTACTAGCCGTGTGACCTCCTCAGGCAAGTGACTTAACCTGTCTAGGCCATAGTTTCCTTGTCTGTAAAATGGAGGTGATAATCATAATATAATCCTCATGAGTATTGGAAGGCTTAAATTAGTTAATATAAAGGACTTGGTACATTATAAGCATCTAAGTCTGCACTGTCCAATATGATAGCTGTTAGCCATGTAAATTAATTAAATTTAAATGAAATCCAGTTCCTTGGTCACATATTTCAAGCATGCAGTAGCAGTGCAGATTATAGAACAGTCCCATCCTCACAGAAGTTCTGTCAGAGAGTGCTGATCTGAGTGTCTGTTAACCATGTCTTAGGAACGTGGAAACTAAATGGTGTGCTCTGAAGGCCCTTTCAGAATAGGAACCTGTACAGTGAGAGGATGTTGCCCTTCCTTCTGCCTCCTGTAGTCAGTGTCTGGAGGCAGGCACTCTGACAGGAGGAGGGCAGCTCCTTGCCCCACCTCACCGCACTTGCCCAGATGGTGAGAGGCTCAGCCTGCTAGACTGTCAAGTACTCCATCTACCAAAGTGTATTGTGATAGGAAATTTATCCTTAAATGTATAAAAAAAACCAAACCTGTTACTGTCCAGTTGATTTCAACTTGTAGAGACTTTATTGGACAGAGTAGAACTGCCCCAGAGATTGTCCGAGGCTGTAATCCTTTACAGAAGCAGACTGCCACATCTTTATTCCACAGAGCAGCTGGTGGGTTTGAACCACCGGCCTTTTGGTTAGCAGTCAAGCACTTAACTACTGCACCTCCAGATCTCCTTCCTTAAATGTATATAAGGACAGAAAATAGCAGGCACCGAGAGTCATTCCTGGAGACAAGCAGATCTGGTCAAGTCCTGGCTCTGCCACTGGCCACTCCGTGACTTTGAGCTGCTTCATTTCTCTCTCGGCCTTAGGTTTCTCATGTAAAGGGGGAGTAATAATAGAGCCTATGTCACAGAGTCTCTGTAAAGAATCAGTGTGATAAGTTCCTACAAAACAAAGTACCAGGCACGTTGCAAGGGTTGGTTAAATGGCAGCAGTGCTGCTAAATCCTGCTCACCAGAGCCACCACTGCCCTGCGCACGCTGAGACTCGGTAAATACTTGTAAAACAAATGAAGGAGCTTCTCTTGATTTCTTTTTGCACCCTGACTGTGCAAGCAAATAACAAAATATCTGACTCACTGTCTCACTTTTGAAAACAAAACCACTTCTGTGGGTGTGGTGTAGACTTGGCGCATTCACATTACTGGGTTACGACAAAGGTGCTGTTGGCATTACTCTGACATGTCTAAAAGTAGGGTGCGTAGTGTGATTGACTGCAAAGGATTGCTAGTTTTATGAAATACATATATTATTTTCACAATCTTATATTACACAGCCGAGAAACCTACAATGCGCTTACTAATTGGTTAACAGATGCCAGAATGCTAGCAAGTCAAAACATTGTGATCATCCTCTGTGGAAACAAGAAGGATCTGGATGCAGATCGTGAAGTTACTTTCTTAGAAGCCTCCAGATTTGCTCAGGAAAATGGCAAGTGACCTTTTACTTCTCATTTCTTTTCAAATGGCAGTTTTAGGGGTAATAACATTTCTCTGAATTTTAAACATGTATTGGAGTTTCAAGATTAAATTTTGTTTAGGACATGTGGAACTTGGAATTATCTTCCCTATAAATTTAGACTTCTTTAGCATCTCTTCAGTATATTTGCATCCTGTCTATAAAAGTAACTATAATGATAAAAACAAATATATTACTATCCAGTTACAGATCTTTGAATATTAGGAGTCTCGAGTTAAAGTGAAATTTATAACAATCATTTTAAAAGGATCAAACCAGATGACATTATCTTTTTTCAATGTAATTTGAAGCAAAGTTGGTGAAATTTCGAGCTTATTTGCTTTATTTACATTAAATTTAAGTCATTTGATTATAGGGGCCTTTGAAACTACTGTGTATTTCCATATAGAATACGTAAGAATGCCACAAAGTTAATGGTTACTTACAGATAACGGAATGATAAAAATTCAAACATTTTAAATAACTAATTTTTAGACCCAGTCAAGAACTAGAATATCCTAATAGCAGTAGTCAGTTGGACTCTAGGGCTACTAAATTATATTTTTACAAGTTGTCTAGTTTTCTGCTAGGAAATAAATGTGAGAGAAAAACGTAAGTCTTATGAGGGTTCGTAAAGAAGCTGTTTAGAAATATAAAAAAGCATAGAATGTTGAAGCTCCAGAAGAATTTAGATGTCACTAATTGAACCTCATCTTTACAAGCAAGGAAACAACAGGCTAGAGAGGTTGTGGTTTGCCTGAGATAGCAAGCAGAACAGCTTTTCTGCTGGGATTTGTAACCACCCCGGTGGATAAGAAAAGTATTAATTCATAGAAGACTTCTTCAAGGTCGAAATGACAAGCAGACAAACGAACGAAATCCCAAAGTGTATATACTCTTAGTCGTATTTGTGGTGATATACAGATTATTTGGAGAGGGAAATGGCTATCTCAAATCAGCAACTTGGCTGTTTTTATCAGCCTACCCCCTTATTGAATTGAGGTAACTCAGAATGTGAAAGTTTTACTTATTCAGTTTCTTAAGCAGATTTAAGTGCTAGCATAAGATAAAAATTCCTTTCAGAAACAACCTAGGTGTCCATCAACAGATAAATGGATAAACAAATTATAGTATATTCACACAATGGAATACTACACAATAATAAAGCACAATGATAAATCCATGAAACATAACATGGATGAATCTGGAAGGCATTATGCTGAGTGAAATCAGTCAGTCACAAAAGGACAATTATTGTAGGAGACTACTATTATAAGAACTCAAGAAAAGGTTTAAACACAGAAGAAAACATTCTTTGATGGTTATGAGGGTGGGGATGGAGGGAGAGGGGTATTCACTAACTAGATAGTAGACAAGAATTATCTTAGGTGAAGGGAGGGACACAACAGGGGAAGTCAGCACAACTGGACTAAACCAAAAGCTAAGAAGTTTCCTGAATACAGCCAAACCACTTTGAGGGACAGAGTAGCAGGGGCGGGGGTCTGGAGACCATGATTTCGGGGATATCTAGGTCAGTTGGCATAACAAAGTTTATTAAGAAAATGTTCTGCATCCCACTTTAGTGGGTGAGTGGCATCTGGGGTCTTCAGAACTAGCAAGTGGCCATTTAAGATGCATCAGTTGGTCCCAACCCACCTGAAGTAAAGGAGAATGAAGAATACCAAAGACATAAGGAAAATATTAGCCCAGGAGACAAAAAGGGCCACATAAACCAGAGACTCCATCAGCCTGAGACCAGAAGAACTAGATGGTGCCCAGCTACCACCAGTGACTGCCCTGACAGGGAACACAACAGAGGGTCCCTAAGGGAACAAAACAAAAGTGGGATGCAGAACTCAAATTCACGTAAAAAGACCAGACTTAATGGTCTGACCAAGACTGGAGGAACCCCAGAAGACATGGTCCCTGGGCCCTCTGTTAACTCAGAACTAAAACCATTCCTGAAGCCAACTCTTCAGATAAAGATTAGACTGGACTATAAGATATGTAATGATACTCGTGAAGAGTGTGCTTCTTAGTTCAAGTAGATACACATGACTAAATGGGCAGCTCCTGTCTGGAGGCGAGATGAGAAGGCAGAAAGGAACAGGAGCTGGTTGAATGGACATGGGGAGTTCGAAGTGAAAAGGAGGAGTGTGCTGTCACATTATAGGGATAGCAGCTATATGTGCATAAATTTTTTTTATGAGAAACTAACACAATAAAGAAACTACTTTCAGAAAAGGGTTAGAATTCTAACATTAAAAAAAAATGTTGCCATATATTCATTTCATATTCACAGAAATACATGTTTTAGGTCATAAATTTCATTTAACTTGCTATTTTAAGAGAATATTAAATAAATTTTTAGTCGCTCAAAAATTGTGATCATCTTGTAAATATGGCTGTTTTGTTTGATGTCAATTTTAGAGCTGATGTTTCTGGAAACGAGTGCACTAACAGGAGAAAATGTAGAAGAGGCCTTTGTGCAGTGCGCGAGAAAAATACTTAACAAAATTGAGTCAGGTAAAAGGCTTTCCATCACTGCTTCATATTTTCAGGGGTGATTTGGTCAAAAAATATCCTCTCTACATCTGCCAACCTAAAATTGTCATTTATTAATTTGATGGTCATGGTCATGTAATTGTAATGAAAACCTGCCCATCCTACCATGTGATTACCACACCCCAGCCATGAAAAGGGATAAATAAACCAGTTGAATTGTGGGTGGGTCATCAAAGTTTTAGATCGTGTGTGTTTTTAGAACCACAGCCTTTTTTGGATTTGTCACTTAAAGCAAGAAAAAAGTGTGGCTTTGTTCACTCTCTTTCAATAGCATACTTACTCTGTTAAACTAGTTGTCATCTGCAGTGCCTAAGGAATCATTTATATGATGTTGAAGCAATTATGAATAAATTGTGTAATGTTGGTAGATGCAGGTTGGGGCCATCATTGAGCTATGCAATCAAGTGTTAATTCTTAGTTCTGAAGCTGCCTGGTCATGCCTAACTTGTAATCTGTCTTGTTACGGTTGTATTTGTTGCTTTAGTAAAATTAAAGTAACCCTTAATTTAGGCAGCTGACAAACTACTATGTAGTTGTTGTTTATTAGATTTTTATTTAAATACCAAAATTACAGGTTGACATTCACCTTTTAGTCAATTCATTGAACTATCTGAGTGCTTATTATTTGTTAAGCACTAAGATACCAAAAAGAATAAATCACTGTCTTTTATGGGAGACAATCAAAAAATAATTATAATGTGGTGTGATAGATTCAGTAATTGAGAGATGCACAGGATCCAAAGAAGTGGAAGCTAGCCCAGCCATGGGAGTGGAGAGGGTGTCAGGGAGGACTCCCAGGAGGGGGTGATGACTGAGCATGACGTTTTAAAATACAAGGAAGAGTAAGTAGATCAAGGGAGTGGGGAGGAGAGCACGTGAGCAGAGGGGACATCATGAGTTGAGACTGAGAGATGACAAAGTTTGAAGTTACTAGAACAGGAAAGGAAGGCAGGGGATAGCAGGAGAAAAGATTAAAGAAGGGCAGGAGCCAGGTTGCATTCCCCATCTAGGAGCTGGAACTTTATCTTGTCAGTTACTGATCCTCATCTGGCTGTACCTGGGGTCACCTGGGATGCATTAGAAAACTCCGCCATCGGAGATTCTGAATTAATTGATATAGAGTATGGCCCAGACCTCAGCCTTTATAAAAGCTCTCCAATGTGATTCTGATGGTCATCCAAGATTGAGAATCACTGCTGAAGGGGGTGGGAAGCCATTCAAGGGAGGTAAGCAGTGGAGTGATGTGGTCAGGTTGTGACTTAAAATGAGGCATATATGTAGGTGTCTATGTTGAGGACAGACTGAAGGGAAAACAGGGCTGTAGGCCAGATACCAATTAAGGTGTTTTTGAGTAAACCAAGTAAAAGATGACTGATTAAAGCTTTAACAAGGATGTAGAAGTACAGATGAATCTAAAAAATAGGTAGTAACATCAGTAGGAAAGGACAGTTGATTGGGGGGAGAGTGTCAGGAAATGAGGAGGAGCCAAGGATAACTTGTAGATGTCATACTAGGTATCTAGATAAAGAGACACCATTGATGCAGAAGGAAGTGTTGCGTTTGCAGTAACACTGGAGCATCCATATGCAGTTACCTCATAAGCTTTGGGGGAAATTCTGGGCTGGCAATATAAATGTGGCAGTCATCAGTATATCGGAATAGTTGCAACTATGAGAAGGAATGTGATCACCCAGAGTCTAGAGGGAGAAGAGCAATGGATCAAGGACAAAAACCTGGAGAAGACCAGCATTTAAGGATGAGCGGAGGAAGAGGAGCCTATGAAAGAGAGACAGAAGGAGATGGTCAGAGGTGTGTAAAGAGAACCAGGAGAAAAACAGGTGTTATTTAAGCCAAAATTTTAAGAGCCTCAAAGGGGAGAGTTCGTTATCGAATGCAATAGAAGTCCAATAAGCTAAAAACTGAGCTGAAAAATATCGACTGGGGTGGACCACAGGACATCATTGGTCATCTTTATCAAAAACAATTCCAGTGGAAATACGAAGGTAGAAGAGAGATCACCATCAGTCAAGGAACAGGTTTGTTATTGGAGTCATCTCCAACTCATGGCGACCTTGCGTATAACAGAATGAAACATGGTCGTTAGTCATTAGTATGTGTGAGTCCGTTGTTGGAGCTATTGTGTCATTTCATCTCATGGAGGATTTTCCTCATTTTCACTGACCCTCTGCTTTACCAAACATGATGTCCCTTTCTAACAATCAGACTTTCCTGATAACATGTCCAAAGTAAGGGAGTTGAAGTCTTGCCATCCACGCTTCCAAGAGACATTCTTGTTGTATTTCTTCTAAGACTAATATTTTATTCTTTTGGAAGTCCACAGTATATTTATTATTCTTCAACAACACTGCAGTTTGAATGCATCAGTTCTTCTGTCTTCCTTTTTCATTATAACACGGTTAATTTAACGAAGGGTTTGGGGGATGAAAGAAATTTTAGCATGTTTAAATGTTGAGAGACAGAGAGGGGAAGGATAAAGGAGAGAAGGATCAGAGAGGGGAAGACAGAGACAAAATAGGGAACTTGGTGAGGTAGAAGGGAAGGAAGGTCAAGGGTCCAGATGGAACGGTTGGATCCCTACAGGACAGTACATCCTTTTGTATTTTTTCAGTCTGAAAACGAAAATAAATTTACTGAACTTGGTACAAGAAATGTTATTTTTGAAGATTCTGTAGTCTTTAGCATTACAGTTGGTTTAGTATTATTATTAAGCATGAGCTTTTATTTAAGTTACCTTACTGCTTTTCTATTTCATCTGAATACAGATATAAGTTGACTCATTAAAACCTTTCAAGATATATTTCTTATGAGATAATCAAAATCATAATTATATCTAAGTGTGAAAATATAAAAGTATAAGTTAGGATTCTTAAATAGTACTTTTTTATTTAAAATATTTAAATAGGCAGTACATTCACATGATTGAAAAGCCACTGTTTCTCCCCCTCATTGTGTGTGTGTGTTTGTGTGTGTATGAAATGTATAATATAATATCCCACTGTGTATATTACCATCATTGATTCAACCAGTCTACTTTAGACATTTGGGTTATTGCCAATGTTTTGCTATTACAAACAATACTACAATAAATGACCTGTTATATCATTTTACATATGTATGAATCTGCTGTGGGATAAATTCTCAGAAGTGGAACTGCTTGCTCAAAGAACACATGTATCTGAATTTAGATAGTTTGTCAGATTGCCTCCTATCAGGGTTGTAGCAGTTTATGATCACACTAGTGAAGAATGAAAGTGCCTGTTTACTAAAACCATGCCAACAGAGTGTATTGTCATCCATGGATTTTTGCCAGTCTGATAAGTGAAAAATGATGTCTCTGTAGTTTTAATTAATTTTAAATTATTTTTGTATATAGTCACATAATTCCAGTTACAAAAAAGGACAAAAGCATATACAGTGCACAGTTACCCTTCATCACCACCCCTTCCCTGCCCCCTAACCACTCAGAACCCTTGAAGTCAACCATTATTATCAGTTCTTTATATATCCTCCCAGAGGCACATGTATGTATGTATGTATGTATAGTGTTTCCTCTTTTGAAAACGATGGCATGTGTACACAGTGCTCTGTACCTTTATTTTGCTTAATATATTTTGGAGATCGCAGAAACATAAAAACTTTTTTTTAATGAATACTTGACTGGTCCTCAGGTGAGCTGGATCCAGAAAGAATGGGCTCAGGTATCCAGTATGGAGATGCTGCCTTGAGACAGCTCCGGTCCCCGCGTCGAGCACAGGCCCAGAGTGCCCAAGAATGTGGTTGTTAAAGATCAGCACGGGGCAAACGAGGTGGGTGCTGGGAGTTCGCAGTGTCTGTTTGCCTTTCTGATGTTGTGCTCTTCTCTCTCTTTTTTTAAATACACTAATTCCTCACATGGGTAACTATAGAAGCTATGTTACAGCTTTTTGCAAGTACATTATGAAAAATAGACGTGACAGTATAATTTAAAAATAGATGTTCTGATTGAAAGTATTTAAATGACATAGGAAATTCTTAGACTTTTGTTGAGAAAGAAAGGAAGGGCAGTTGTTGATGGGAGTGGTTGAGATGGAGATTCTTTTGCTATTATGTCAATGAGAAGATTTCCGTGGGTTAATTAAAGTCTAAATGGATGTGCCTCTTCTAAAATAGAAAGCTCATTTATAAAATTCGCAAAGGGAGATTTTTAATTTTTTAAAGCTCCTTTTTTCCCCTTTGACCACAGTGGACTTGTTTGTAGCCAACATTATCTAGTAAGCGTAGGTGTAAGTAGTAAAGAAAAGACAGTCGTATTCTCTAATTCCCTTTGAACTGTCAGCTGTACTTATGTTTGTGTTTGTAATTATGCATGTTTCTAAATTGTTCTTAATTTTTTTTAGGTGTACATACAGTGGTATTTGGGACACAATTGTTGGAGCTTGAAGAACCTGAAGCTTTTTTACCACCATCTTTATCTACTCTATACAAAAGTAGATCCTTGTGGGAAAAAAAATAATTGGGATATTATGGAAGCTAGTAGTCATGGCACAGCAAACTGTATAATAAATCTAACTCAATGGACAATACCATTAAATGTACACATGTATGTAAAAATTTTCTGTTCCACATTTTCCCTTTCACCTTTAGCTTGAAACGTGGCTATGTACTGTATATATTCTGGCCCACAGCATGTCTCCACAGCATGGTGTATGATGTATGATATAATGGAATGTTGCACTAAATGCAGTTTAATATTTTTTTAAATCATATGAACTAAAATTTGTTAATTGTGAGGTGTGCTTTTATCATCATGTCAGTTATATTGCAAAATTTGGTTGTTCTTATGACCTGATATTCAGAGATTCTGGCATTGATGGCCAGTGCATTTCTTATTTAATTCTACATGGTGTTTACTTGAAATACTAGATCAGTAGTTATTCACTAACATACGGAAATAAAATGAAAAATGGAGTTTTTTTTTTTCAGTTAACTTTACATTGTCCAGCTCTCGCTTGCTTTCAGAGTATCTTCATCCAGGTCAGTTCAGGAAATACATGTTGGATATTGAGTACCTGCCCTGTTCTGGGTGCTGTGATCAATGCTGAGGGCTCTAATACCTTTGACCAAGCTTAGTAGGCAGCCTCAGCTGTTGATGAAATGCGATAGACTGCTTAACTTGGGGCTGCTCAGCTGTTTGCAGTTTGCTGATCTGTCTGGCTCCCTGCTAGAAAATACATTGTCTGCTCTCACGCTTTTTCTGGTATTCAGTTTCATAGCATCACTGCCTCTTTTTCAAATCTTTTATTGTTTTGTGTTCATTTTAAAGCTACTACATCAAGTTAAAATTAAAAAGACATCAGTCATTAAGCAATTTCTTTATAAGTTTCACTGAATCCTTAAATGCCTTATTTGCACTTACCAAGTTGACATGTTTTTAATTCATATAGGCTATATTGAAATATGGAGCCCTGGTAGCACAGTGGTTAAGAGCTCGGCTGCTAACCAAAAGGTCAGCAGTTCGAATCCACCAGCTGCTCCTCAGAAACTCTATGGGACAGTTCTCCTCGGTCCTGTAGGGTCACTGTGAGTCAGAATCGACTTGATGGCAACGGGTTATATTGAAATATATATTATGAAGACTTATTCTAATATTTTAAAATATTAATACAAAAAATATAAAATGGAACTATTTTTTTTAAATTGTGCTTTAAGTAAAAGTTTACAATTCAAGTTAGTCTCTCACACAAAAATCTATACATACATTGTTATGTGACCCTAGTTGCTCTCCCTGTACTGTGACAGCACGCTCCTCCTTTCCACCCCGGATTTCCTGTGTCCATTCAACCAGCTCCTGACCCTCTCTGCCTTCTCATCTCACCTCTGGACAGGAGCTGCCCATTTAGTCTCATTTATCTACTTGAACTAGAAGCACACTCTTCACAATTATCATTTTATGTCAATGGAACTAGTCTTTAGAGTTGAAATGCAATATTAAGTCCAAAAGCTTAAAAAATACTTCTCTTCATGTTATGTGTGTTCTTCCACTGTGGCTTTTTCTTAGATGGTAGCTGCAAACTGGTAAATTTACCCAACTTTTAGTTAGAGGCTGCCTGTTGCTTTTGTTGTTGTTTTGTTTTAATCAACAGTCAGAGCACAGAGGCTCATATAAACTCTGAGATGGGACTTTGATAAAAATATCAGTATGTATCTGTTTAAATTTTTTTTTATGCCTTGAATATTTTCTTTTGAAAAGTTAGAATCTAAGCAAATTCTCAGACTGAACTACTTCTTGGACCTCACTGGAAGAATTTTTCATTTAATGCCTCATTTACGATAGTTTTGTCAGCTACTCATTTCTGAACAGATTTTTGCATGAAATAGGAGCATGTCTATTCTAACAGAAGTAAGGATTTATAAAAATGAGATAAATTTAAATCTGGTTTATAAATGAGCCTTTTAGTTAAACCACAGGTACCACATACCTTCCATATCCTTTGATCAAACCATGATGGTTGTTAATCAGGGCTCTTCCCTTTAGGAACAGTGAAGAAGTGAGGTAATTTGGTCTTGGTGAGTCTAGTAACAAATGTAATGTATACATTTCCTGTTACTTTTTTAAGTTTTCAGGAAGCTCTTAATTTACATTTCTAGAAAAGTAATTTTTCAGTCTTCCCAGAAAAAAATTGTAAAGTTCATTTAGACTTGAAATTGTAATCTGTTCTTTTTTACAATCCAGCATTTAAGTGAAAATGAGAACATCACAATTTGGGAATCTGTAATGGTTTTGTAAGGAGCCCTGACTGCTAACCAAAAGGTCAGTGTTTCAAACCCACCAGCTGCTCCTTGGGAAAAAGATGTAGCAATCTGCTTCCATAAAGATTACAGCCTTGGAAACCCTATGGGGCAGTTCTGCTCTGTCCTATAGGGTCACTATGAGTTGGAATCTACTCGATGGCAACTTTTTTTTGTTTGTTTTAATGGTTTTGTTGAAAACGTTACTTGTGGCCTGTTGAAATTTTTGTGAGTTGTTGAAATCTTTACAAACATTGATTCCTAGCTAATTAATACTATTATTCGGAGTAAAGAACCTGATGGTAAAATTAGAAACCTAGATGGTGTGTAATCCATACTGTGACACAGTAAATGGTTCTTCATTTTCTGTCATTTTTGCCCTCTTTTGGAAACCCTGGTGGCATAGTGGTTAAGTGCTATGGCTGCTAACCAAAAGGGTGGCAGTTCGGATCCACCAGGCGCTCCTTGGAAACTATGGTGCAGTTCTGCTCTGTCCTATAGGGTCGCTATGAGTCGGAATCAACTCGATGGCACCGGATTTGGTTTTGTTTGTTTTGCCCTCTATTTGGAGGAGAGAATTGGAGGGGGTTAAACACCTGTGATTTTTAATATTTTTGTACCAGTTGTGAGTCTCTTTACCAATCTGTCCATGTACATGTAATCTGAGCTTGTCCCAGTTGTTACTTGTTATTTCCTAATTGTATTAACTTCCCTAAAATTGTTTTAGGAATTTATCTGAGAACACTAGACTTACCAGTTTCAGTAACACGAAAGTAAGGCAGAGCCATCGCTTGCTAAGGCTAGATAATACTGCGTACTGGTAGAAAGTCATATGATTAGGGAATCTTTTTTTTTTTTAATAGTATTTATGTAGTTTTACATTTTGTATTATGGAAATTTTCAAACATACACAGAAAATAGTAGTACAATGAACCACTAGATCAGCTAGCTACACCAATTACCAACATTATGCCAATCTTGTTCTAGCTTCACCTCTTGTTTTATGCTGTAGTATTTTAAGGTATCCAAGACATGTCATTTTACCCAAAAATTGTTCAGTATGCATCTCCAGCTAGTAAGAATTTATTTATTTTTTTAATTTTTACATAATCACCATACCAGTGGAACCTTTTTTTTCAAGACATTGTTAAAAAGCCAAGAATGATTATGTTTTATCTTAGTCATACATTTATCTGACATACATTGAAAACGTGAAGTGCACTTCTCTGGTATAGCACCGGAGGAGGTGATGCCCCAGCACGTGGCTAGTTGCCTGCCCAGGGCAACCTTCCGTGGGGCTCAGGGCAGCCAGCCTCCCAGCCACAGCCGCCAGCTTTAGGGGTCGGTGCCCATCTAGCTGGTGGTTGAATGTTCTGAATATCCCCCCTGCCAGTGCAGGACACAAGGTCTGCTTAATTTAAATCATCTCAGCATGTCTATATACTGTTCCAAAGAATCTGTTTTATTGTAAAGAAAACATTTCACTCTGACTGCATGACCTTGGGAGCCTTCTGTAACCAGGCTTGAGGCGGGAGTTGAGGCGCATCATCAGCTTACTGACCACAGTGTATTTCTTCCCGCTGGAGGACGTTGTCACTAGACTGCTACAGGAAACTGAATGAAAAGCAATATAAGCCTGTGCTCTACCAACATCTTTTCTCTAACTTCTTGATTTAAAGTGTAATTTTTTATTTTAAAGACAACTAGAATGAAGAAAAACAAACTTGTTAAATTTCTGAGGATTTTACATTCCAAAATATCGTGGAAACAATTATGTTTACTAAATATTAAGGGCCAACTAATATGTACAAGGGTAAAATGCTAAGTTCTGTATGTTTGGTGGGAAGCCCTCAAATAACTTTATGTTGAATGGGAAATTTTATAATATGATTAATTCAGGGTAAGTTACCACATTATTCCCTTTTCCAGAAAGATCAGCATATCCGTTTCTGTGGCCCTAAATGTATGTACCAAGCTCTCGTACTATCCCGTTTCCTGAGGAAAATGGTGCTTTTATAGGATATTTACATGCAGTTCTCCAAATGCTCCCTTGCTTTCTCATTGCCTCTGTGTCTTTGCACGGACTTTACTTCCTTCTCCTGCAGTGCACCCAGCCTGCTCCCAAGTCCGGCAGGCTGAAGTCCTAGTGTCCAACAGGCGCACATAAAGCCTCTCTGTTACCAAGCCTTTCTAGCCACCCCCACCACTGACGTACATACGCAGGCACATTGCTCCCTGAGTTCACTGTACTAACCACTCTTTTGGTATTGATCACATTGATCTATATATTGTCCTTATATAGATACATGACTTCTTTACTAGGCTGAGACCTCTGTGCCCAGTGCCTGGAACATAGAGGTGTTCAAATGTTTATAGAAAGGACAGATGACCACAGAGGCTATTGTCCCCAAGTCTTTCTCAGTAGAATCAGTGTCTTGGAACTGGAACAGTACCTGGATATTACTAGTTCAGCTATCCACAGCAAGAGCCCTTTTCTGCAAAATCCCCAGTAGGTGGTCTGGCGATCCTGCTAAAAGCCTTCCTTCTATGGAGGCAGTTTGATAAGTCCCAGAGCAGCACGCTCCGTTTTTGAAATGTTGTCTACAAGTACATAGTTTCCCAATCATGTTATTTCCAGGATTGAGAGCTTTTAATGTTTAGGCTGCAAGTTCTGTTGTTTAGTATTTCTAGGGAATTCTGTGTGTTCTTAGTTGATTTCTTTCTACCCTTCACAGTACGGCCTATGGGCAGGCAAGTGCCCAGACTGCTGCATGCTCCATCTCAGCGTAATTTGCCAATGTAAAATTAGGAGGGTAAGGGCTATCATTGTTGTCGAAGAATATGGAATACACCATGGACTGCCAGAAGAAAGAAAAAATCAATCTTGGAAGAAGTACAGCCAGAGTGCTCCTTGGAAGCGAGGATGGTGAGACTTTGTCTCACGTACTTTGGACATGTTATTAGGAGGTACCAATCCCTGGAGAAGGACATCATGCTTGGTAGAGGGTCAGCAAAAAAGAGGAAGACCCTCAACAAGATGGATTGACACAGTGGCTGCAACAATAAAAAAAAAAAAAAAAAAGCCATTGTGAGGATGGCACAGGTCCTGGCAGTGTTTCGTTCTGTTGTACTTAGGGTCAGTATGAGTTGGAGATGACTCGTGGCACCTAACAAGGGCTGTCAGAAGCAATTGAGGATATAATTGTCTCTAAACCTCTGCTTTAAGGCCTAGGTGTGTGTCTTGTGTTCTAGGATAGTATGAGTTATACATGATTGAGGATAAAGTATGTCAAATCAATTCTGTTAATCACACATACTCGGTGACAACTGACCAGCCCTACGTGGGAGCAGCAGCCAGAGCTCTAATCACGTCTTGGAAACTTGGTAACTCTACCACATTTTCAAAGGAATATAGACATGGCGAGTAACAGTTTTACAACCCTAATTTTAAGACTAAATGATTACATCTAAAAGTTTTAAATTTTGTATTTTATATAGGTTGGTTGTCTATGTTTCTCCCTGATTCCAAATTGTGACAGTATCTGAGCAATGAGAAACACTTTTGTATCTGGAGGAACCCTGCTGTAAGGATGTCTACAGCCACCAAGCACACCTGTTCCCTGTTTCTGACCTCTTTTCCTCTTTTGAAAAATGTTTTATAGGAAAAATTACTACAACAATTTTTAATTTAACAAGCCCCTCATTTTCAATACTGTCAATTGAAATGTCTACAATAAAACTTTGAAGGAGTATAACTTTTTTAATAGCTTAAAGTATTCTCTCATTTAGCATCTCATTGAACCTTCAAAACAGCCCTTTGGTGACCTGCAAAGTGGGTATCACATATTGTGCCATTGCACAGCTGAGGGCCATGAGGTGGAGAGACCCAGCACCCGGCCCCAGGCCTCAGCTCGACGTGGGACATAGGCTAGTGTGGGCCGCGTGCGACTCACAGTGGAACCAGGCTAGGTGCTTGGGTTTATCGGACTCTTTTTCCTCAACATTTTATTAATGGAAATCTTGAACACACATGGTTATTGGAGTTTAAGATCTACAAACGGTTCTGATTTTAACTGGTAAGAGGTTTTTCCATTTTTAAAGTACTTTTAGTGCTAAGTTGTTAGAGGTGGGAACAATTGATTTCATCACTATAAAACCATGTTTTGTTTTTTAAAGTCATGAGCTTAATGGCTTGCTTTTTTGACCCTGCCTTCAATAGATTGAAAACATTACAAATTTAAAGTGCATGAATGAAAACGCATGCTAATTGGTTTACAGAACGCTTGTCAAAATTTGTCCTCTGCATTTAAAGCTGCCGAGTATGAAGTTGTGAGTTCAGTATTTCTTTTGTGAAGGTAAGGATTTGCTGAGGCTCTGTGCACGTGAGGCTGTTGCACGTGGCAGTGGGGAGGTTGTTCCCTTGCCTGCCACATCTAATGTGTGTATTTTGGCAACGTTCCTGTACTATATGCCAATAAACTATTGAACCAGGTTAGCTCTTACCTATGCTGCTTCTCATCTCAATTTATTTAACTTAGTCCTTGACCAAGAGTAGAAGGTAAAATCCATTTACTCAGGATTTTTCCCTTTATATGTAACTGTTACAGCCATCCTGTTTTTATCTCCAGGATTAATTTCAGCTGTAGCTAACCTGGTGCTTCAGACTTTTACCGTATGTAGTTACCTCTTAGGAACCACCTGAAATTTAGACAAAACCTGGTGTGTGTTTATAGGGTTTTCCATTCAGATGATGTTTTCCCGTGGTTGTCAAGTTTGTTTCATAACAGGGTGTCTGACATCTACTAGGAAGCATGTATCACAGGCCCGAGGCCGCCATGGAGAGAGTGTTAAGCTGAGCCAGATTGCGGTGCCATTGCCCTAGGAGAAGATGGTTGCTTCTAAGGGACCCCAGCAAGATGAGCCGCCCTCAGAGGCTGTCGACAGGAAGTAAGAGCTCGGTTTGCACTTCCCAAGATTCCTCTCAGACCAGAAAGCCTCAGGGAGACAGAGGAACTCCTCAAGTCATCTGACGTCCTGAAGCTTTAAAACAATGAAACAGACTGATGTAGTAATTGTCTCAGAAACTTGTCAACACCTAAGTCATAAGAACAATAAAAGTGTCCATGTTAATCTTTACAAGTTACCATTATCTCATAAGACCATCTTTCATAGTAAATCTAGTTTTTTGTTTTGTTTTTTTTTGGGGGGCGGGGGACATAAACCAAAAGCCAAACCCATTGGCATTGAGTCAATCCCGACTCATAGCAACCCGATAGGACAGAATAGAACTGCATAGAGATTCCAAGGAGCACCTAGCGAATTCGAACTGCTGACCTTTTGGTAGCAGCTGTAGCTCTTAACCCCTACACCACCAGGGTTTCCATTGGGAACATATGCACTTAAATTCAAGCAGCGTACATTGTGTCGCATTCTAAATACCCCTTCTCACAGGCAACCGGTTATTTGACATTCTGTACATCTGTAAGCACATTTAAAACAATGAAAGCCTAGTATTTTTCCATTTGTGTTTTAAGTATGCTTTAAGACTTCCTCAGAACTCCCCTGTAGGTCTAGCTCATTATCAGAGACAGGGTGATAAGAATTTACCACGATTTAGGCATTGCACTATGAGGCTGTTAACACTCCTATTCAGTATGTCTGCATACACAAATATGTCTAAAAGATTTTAGAAGTAGAATTGCTAAACAAAATAGATATTACTTTTTAATATTGATAAAGCCAAATTGTCCTCCAAAGAACCTGTACCAGTTTATACTCCCACTAACATAAGATGGAGCCCTGATGGCACAAAGGTTAAGCACTCAACTGCTAACTGAAAGGTTGGTGGTTCAACCCCACCCAGCAGCTCCACAGGAGAAAAACTTGGCGATCTACTTTCATAAAGATTACAGCCAATTATACTCTTTTAAGAACTA